GACAACCAGGTGGCATTTCCAAAAGGCCACCACAGCTGAGGTCAGGCCCACACTAAGGATGAGGGACATGTTCTAAGTCCTGCAGTGTCATGCAAAGGACTGAGTGGGTAATGGGTACATGGTGTTTGTTATATTACCCCTTATATTTTTCCATTCTTATTTTTTTTTTAATTCAAAAATACACCACGTACACAAATGATTCAGGGCTTTGTGGCTAACTATCACCGGGTTTTCTGTCTGTCTCTGCCAAGCAGCCGCTTCTGCACCTCTGTGGGTTCTGTCACCTCCTAATGTCCCTGCACATGGGCCGATCCGTCCCCTTTCCTCCTGAGGCCTTTGCTCCCCTGCAGCACTGATTGCACATGGTCAGCCCCCCATCGGACGTGTCCCATGAGCAGCAGGAGAGAAGAGATGTATCGTTTTGGGTCCTCCAGTTCTGGGAGCAGTGCAGAGTGAAAGAAGGAGCGTGTGTGTGCTTCGGGACCAGGCAGACCCTGGTCAGACTCCTTCCAGGCTCTGCTTCTCTCAGAGTAAGTCTGTGGTGGCCTGCTCAAACTCTCCAAGTCTCAGTTCCCTCATCTGTGAAAGGCTAACAGCCAAACTGTGAGGCTTACAGGTGGCGAATACAGAGTGTCTGGCTTACCAGCCTTTGTTGAAGGAAAGATGGGAAGGAGAGAGAGGCAGGCAGATGGACACACAGAGAGGCTGTCTTTAAACCATGCCATTTGAGGAGCAGTTGAAGCAGACAGAGCTGCTGGTGCCGGAGAAAAGCATGGCTTCAAAGGTTCATGTGAGACAGACCCAATCGGACAGCTTAAGGGGAAAAAGGAAGAACTTTGCAAGGGTGAGAACATCCCCCTGGGGGCAGGCTGACCTGAGGGGCAGCAAGCTGCCTGTGTCTAGAAGGATCCAGCTGAAGCCTCACAGGCTGCATGGGAGGGACTCCCCTGTTGCAAGTTTCCCAGCCTTTACTCAAGGGATCATTTAAAAATCTTTCTTTAGCCTTAGTCTGAGCTAAATATCCATAAAAAAAAGATTTGATATGATGCCTGCATTTTTAATAGTAAGTATAAAACTAGTAAGAGCTGTATGTTCCCCCCCCACCAGAATCATCACCCTCACCACTATGAGGAATGTGCTCTACTGGGTCTGAACCCAGTCGACATAGGCTCCAGGGGCCCCCCTGGGCTAGGATTCTGTTATTTGAAGGTTGCCTGAATGCTGATAATACTCTTCATTTTTATAACCCTTTCTGGTTTCCCAAGCATGTTCTCATCTGTGTATTTCATCTAATCCCCCTGACAACCCTGAGGGCTCAACAGAGAAGTCACAGATGGTGCCTGGGCCACTGGAGCACGGGACCCTCCCAAGGTCCTATCGATAGTCATGAAGGGCCGGAACCAGAGCTCAGAGCTCCTCACTCTCCACCCCGCCCTCCTTCACTTTACACGCTGCACAGCCAAATCCTTTCCTGGTGCTCTCCGAAATCTCATTACCTATACAACCCATATGTAAATTCAGATAGACAGATGCCAGGCTCTCTTGATGAGAATATGCCCCTCTGAGACCCAGAATGTCACCTCAGCAGCCAGTAATGACCCTCATTGTCATTTGGCCATTGGCCATCAGCAGGCCCCACCTAGTGAAGCTACCAAGAACATTAAAGGACACTGAGTACTAAAGGACATTGCTACTTTATGACCCCCACTAGACAGATGGCTGTAGGAAGCTGCCGTGGATCATGCTAAGCGGTTAAAAGGGCCTAGGGGCTCAGTGGTGGGAGCTAGGCCAAGGAGGGCCAGGGGGCAGAGTCTCTGAGAATAGGTAGGGAAACCTCATCACGGGCAGCAGGAATGCTACCCAGAAGACTGGAGATGGGCATCAAGGAATGCATGGCGGGCACCAAGGAGGGCAGCCTTGGTTTGTCTGAAGCACGAGGTGGCAGCAGCATTGCCCTCTTCATCAGAGTTCTACAAGACAGACTCGCTGGCTGACTGCACAGAGTTCAACTCAGGCTGAGAACTGACAGCTGTCCCACTCTATTTTCATTCTTGACACTGTCTCTACCACAAAGGCATGCTGGCCCGTTGGGAAGGCAGAGTGACACAGTAAATCCTGGGTAAACAGTAGTGAAGCAACCTGGCTTAGACCAGGGGATCTAATGGGGATCCAGGACATGTTTTCAGAGATCCCTGAAACCCCTGAATTGTATGCTCAATTTTGTATACCCAAGCAATTTTTCTCTGGGCTTCTCACTGGCATATTCAAGAAGCTGCCTGTCCCATGAAAGAACTTGCTGGAAGTGACACTGATATTCCATGCCTGTGTACCGAGACCTCACATGAGCTGAGAGCATCTTTGGGAAATCTAAACTCTGTTTAATCCACTATTACTTGGAGTCTGTTATTTGCAGCCAAAAGCATCCCTACTGATCTAGTACCATAGGGCCAGTGACATCACCCAAGACTACGAGGATTGGTGTGTCCTCAGAGTCCACCAACAAAATTCTCAAAGCTTGAATTCTCTGCTCAGCCTCTAGAGAATGGGCACCTGCCAGATGCCCCAGGTACAGGGAACTCTGCCAGCTCCTTCCTTTTTCTCATTCCCAGACAAAGGTAACTGTACCTTTGTATAGCCAGCCAGATGCCTGTCCTGGGTCTGGCAGAAACAGAGCTTCTGGAACTCAATGCACACCCTCTGGACACTTGAGAACATTCCAGCTTTGCCCAAGAATGTGTTCCCACTTAGTTCAGACGTGTATGGTTTGTATGCATGATACAATGCTCACGAGCAGGTATGTTTTCAATCACTTGCAGGGAGGCACACTCCATTTGGGGGCATTTCATGGGTAGAACAATGATCACACCAGATGTGAAATATAAAATAGAGGTCACATTTCCCTGAGAACTCACTCAGTCTAGCAGGCTGGTCGACATGCGATTCTGACTGATGTTAGGGCCTGGAAGCTAGTTCAGCTCCTCAGAGCCCAGTGGTCCTCCCTGGTTCCAGGATCACTCAAGCTCTGGAACCAGCCCCAGGGATAACTGATATGTCACTTTATAAGCAGCTCAGATAATAGAAGGTGTAAAGTACTTGTGATTAGAGCTAGTAATAAAAGTTATACCTATCATAAAAATATCTTATGTAGATGAAAACATGAGTAGTGGAAAAATACAAACTGCTCTATGCAGAGGCAAAGCTGGCAACTCGGGAAGACTGTCGCTTGCCTCACCAGGGCTCAGCAGAGGGCCTTGACCTCCCCTTCTCCATAAGGAAATGTTGAGGCCAGGGGTTGCGGGGGGGGGGGGGGTAGTTTCCAACAGAGCACCAGGTTTACTCAACACTCACTCCTGCCCAGAAAGAGGCTGGCAGACCCTGCAGCCTTGAAACCCCCAGAGCATCAAAGCCCCATGCTGTCTGCCCTGGCAGAGAAAGGACAAACACCACCATAAACCACAGACAGAGAAGCTAACTGGACGCTGGGCAGTGAGAACAGACCCAAGGATGAAAATCATGGCCTGAAACATTTTTAACCCCAGTCAGCAGGGACACACGATTTACAGGAAATTAGGAGATTTACAAAATGTTAGCCAGCTCAAGTTTCTTCCCTCCGAAGAGAAGCAGGAGAAACTCTAAGAACTGTCTCAGTGAAAGTGCTCTGTTCAGAGCAAAGCCCCCGACACATGTCAGTTATTAATACACAGCAACAGCTCACCACCCCATACGTCCACCCACCAGAGAATGTCAGTAGAGGAAAGCACAGCACAGGCTGCCCTGGAGCCTTCAAGCGCGGGATGGCCCGACCCTCACAGGAGGGTCCTGGACAGCTGCATGATCTAAAGCATGATCTCTAGAAAGGCTCTTGGGCACGTTAGTGACCCTTTTAGCCCCAGTTCACCACCTGCACATGAAGATAATAAAAAAATCTTTTCTGCAGGAGTCTTGTCAAATGATCAAACACATCCATGTCTGGTCTGTGTGAGCCCTGTTGGCTGCTGTTATTTCAGTAGAGCTGAGGGGTTTTTCAAGTCAGATCTCCCTATTATTCCTGCTGCCAGGGAGGTCACTCTTTTGAGGCCACAATGCCCAGCCTTGTCCCGGTCAGATCCAGGACAGTTGAGTCCTGGAATGGAAAGAACTATTCTAGCCCAAGCAGGGTTCCGTGGCCGGAAGAAGGACAAGCCCAGAGCTCTGTGATGAGGACCACCATGAGCCCTTGTCCACCTTTCCAGGCTCGGCTTTGTCCCCAGCCAGCACAGACCTCGGTCCCGGCCACAGAGTCTAAAGGCCGTTGGATGCTCCTGCCAGGCATCACCTCCTCTAGGAGGCCCTCCCTGACCTTCCACACTGTCTGCTCCCAGAACCCCTGAGCTTCCCTGATCCCAGGCCCTACCACGCTGGGCTGTGGCTCAGTTTGTGCCCCTACCTTCCCTGCAGACCAGCAGCTGGCACTGTGCCCCACACACGGTGGGCGCTCCAGCCAAGTCTGGTCAATGAATGAGCCCGGCCCTAGTTGCGACCAGAGAGAGCCCCATGTGCAGTGTAGAGTTGCTTTTGAAGAAGGCTGCTTTTTGTTATTCAGCTGAATTTGACAACTCCACCCACGGATCCAGCGCTTGTTAACGCCATTTTAAAAGGGGAGAAAGGCCCCCACCCCCACCCCCACAATCGCGTTGCCCACCTCCCCGTGGGTTCTCACTGGGGCAGACAAGGAACCCAACAGCGATTATTATAACAGAGCCTCTTTGGGTGGTCGGCAGGCCTTCCCCACTGGAGTCTCAGTCGTGGCCGATTTCTCGATCACACACCGTTATTCGGGAGCCTGTGGTGGGGTCCAAAGGCTCCTTAGTCCCAAAGCGTGCTCAGCTAGGAGAGCGCAGCCCGGGCCGGGGGCCGCCACACCTCCGGCCCGGAACAAAGCGCCAGCCAGGGCTGGGGGCCGCTTGGCCCGCGCCCTCCCTTCTCCTCTTCTCCCGTTCCCAGCTGCCCTTACCACTCACCTCACGCTCCAGTCCCGGCTGGGCTCGGGCCCTCAAGTCGCCTCCTCCATGCTCCAGCCGGACTGACGGCTCTGGCCCGCCGGCCCGCCGGTCTCTCTGGCCTGTCCCCACCCTGGCGCCTCCTTAAAGCGACCGCGTAGCCCGCGAGCGCCGGGAGCGCCTGCCTCGCAGCGCATTCCTTATATTGCAACAGCGCCTGCTAAAAATAGAGCGCTGCGGGCGCAGGGGTAGTCGGCCCCGTGCCGCTACCCAGCCGCCCCCGCTTGCACCCTGGCGCCAGGACGCGCTACCCGCCACCCGTGCGGAGTACCCTGGACGCTGCAGGGCGCGCGAGCCTGGCCACGGACCGGTGCCTCCCCCTTGGCCCTGCGCACTTACCCGGGTCCCACTCGTGGCTCCGTGGAGCTGGCTTTAAGGTGGACGTGGAATGGGAATTTGTCCCGGCCCCTTTAAGAGCCTCTGCGCTCCAACCTTTAAATCTCCGCTGGGCCCGGCCAACTTCTTAGCCTCCCCAGTCCTATGCGATCCCGAATTCCCTTAGAATCTTAACCGTAACTGCATTCCCTTAGAATCCCCTAGCGTGTGTCTTTCTAGATCCTGCCTCCAAGGTCGCTTTTCCAGGCCCTCCTGGGGCACCATTCCTGGGCCCAAAGTTCGTTCAGATGGATGCGACGGGGATGAGCGACACGCGCGCGCTCCTTTTCCTTGTTTCAGTTCCGCTAACTTGTCCACTGGCGTCATTTATCCCTCTTTTAAAAATAAAGGTACAATTCGCATATTATAAAATTCTACCTTTTAAAGTATTCAATTTAGTAGTTTGTAGTTTATTTGCAAAGTTATGCAACCCTCACCATTACCAGTTTCCAGATCATTTTCATAATCGGCTCCCCGCCCCTCCCAAACTGTACCCATTTGCAGTCACTCCTCCTTTCCACCTCCCTCCACCCCTTGGAAACCACTAACCTACTTCTGGACTTGCCTCTTCAGGACATTTCGTATAAAAAGAATCATACAACGTGCGGTCTTTTGTGACCAGAGTTTTACACAGCACGATGTTTCCACGGTTCATTCGTGGAGCAGCACACAGGAGCACTTCACTCCTTCTCACGACTGAATAATATTCCATTGTATGTGTGCACCACATGTTGTTACTCCCCTCATCAGCTGATGGACAGTCGGGTTGTTTGTGCTTTGGGGGTATTATCAATAAAGCTGCTATAAACAAGTCTTTGTATGAACATATGTTTTCATTTCTCTTGGATATATACTTAAAAGTAGAATTGTGGGTCATATGCTAGCCATGTTTAACATTTTGAGGTCTCCTCGAACTGTCTTCCAAGTCACTGTTTGGCAACTGTCTTCCAAGAACACTGTTTGGCATTCCCACTAACGATGTGTGATAGTTTCAGTGTCGCCATGTCCTCACCAACACTTCTTACCCTCCGTCATTCTTTTATTATAGTCATCCTAGTGGGGGTGAAGTCTATCTCGTTGTAGTTTTGATTATCAGTGTCATTTTTGAGGACGTTCCTTTTGTGGGTGGACCTTGATTATGACTTGGGACCAGCTCTACACATCCAGGGAACCCTTATCACTTTGAGACCTGCACCCTCCACCCCAGCCCTAAAGGGACCTTACTTCCCTGGGTTCTGCACACCATGCTGGGGCTCCCAGTGTGATGCAGGTTTCGATTGGCATCCCAGGTGGTCATGCAGCCAGTTGGTGAGAGCTACTGTGCCCCCTGCATCCCCACTTCCCCCTGCTGTTCTGAAGGCACCGCGTGCGGACCCCAAGAGTCCCCATGCCAGGGGGACGTGGATTGGGTGCAATCAAGAGTTTGTCACTTTGGTAGGGAGTAGCAGAACTGACCGAGGAGGGGCCCCAGGGACAGATGTTCATCTTGACTGGCTGGATCTTGTCCTGGAAGCTGCCTCTTCCTCTCTCTTCCATTTACCACAGGCCGTGGGGGAAGCAGGCAGGGGTTTGCATGTTTTGGTGTCTGTCAGCCCCTCATGGGCTCTTCTGTGAAGAGACACTCTCTCCTGGGCCCTGACTGGCACAGTGGCCAGACTTGCTCCCAGCTTGAGCGGAGATGTCTACATAAGAATCAAAGATTTACCCCTTTCTACCAGTTTCATACCCAAACCTTTAATAATTTGTCTCTTCAGAAATGGAGTTAAACAGCTAGTAATCACATGCAGGTACCTGAGATTCACTAATGATGAAAGTAAACCCTGCAGGCTGTGGCTGGGGTCTTCAGCAGGGAGCCTACCCCATTTGGGCTGTCTCCTCTGCTCTTTGAACCCTGAAATAAAACATGGCTCAGTTGCTGGCAAATAGGGACTTCAGAGAACAGGGTCACTAAATGGAAAAGTGAGACCTAGGTTTGACAGTTCATTCACTCGGTAAACACTGCCGGAGCACCTACTGTGGACCAGGTGCTATGGCAGAACCTACCTCCAAGCAAAACCAGAGTACCATCGAGGCATGAGTGGCGTGGGAAAGAAGGTCACTGGGAGCCCTGACTGGTGTGGCTCAGCGGGTTGGGCATCATCCCGCAAACCGAAAGGCTGCAGGTTCGATTCTTCATCAGGGCTCATGCCTGGTTTGCAGTCCATGTCTTAGGTTGGGGGCATGAGAGAGGATTGATGTTTCTTTCTCTCTCCCTTCCTCTCTCTCTAAAAATAAATTAATGAAAAAATTTAAAAGGCACAGAGTGGGGATGGCATGGGAGCCCAGAAAGGGACACCAAAACCAATGCCAGAATGCAGGAAACAGGAGTGAGAGGTGATGGGTGAACCAGGGATTGAAAGACAAACAACAGTCAGATAAACCAGAGACAGAAAACCTCATATGCTGAGGCATGAGTGAGATCAAGTCTTTCCAAAAACGCCAGCAGATCTGAATGGCTGAGTTAGGTGTGCTTGGGGCATGGCAGAAGCCAAAAACCCAGGCAAGATTCAGGCCCAAGTTTCAGGTCCTGAGAGCCAAGGTCAGCCACAGGATGTTTTTCCCAGAAAGGGGCAAACATCAGAGGCTCTGGGCTGACCCAGAGTAGAACTTTCCAGCGCGATGACATGAGCAAATGTGCCTCATCCACTGCGACGCATCCTGTGCTTGCCTCTATGTCCCAAAACTTGCTGAGTGCCATGCCTAAGAGCAGACCCAAGCAGGTGCCCAGGGGTTAAGTAGGCAAACCTGGAGGGCGGGGGCACATTGGGGCCAGGAGCCAGCCAAGTCATTGTGGCACAATTTTCCCTCAGAATTCCCAGTCCCAGTGTGGCCCCTGGGCATTAAAGCAGCTCTGGGTCCTGAGCACTCATGGTGTGCCAGACATGGGCATAGTGATGGGCCTGCCCACCTCCCAATGACCTGTGCAGAAGGTCTTACGTACCCTCTTTCAGATGTAAGGAGACCCCAAGCCCAATCCCACCCAGCCAATAGACTGACAATAGACTTGAGGTGCCGGTCAGTGGCTTGTGTGTTTGGCGTTGGGAAAGCAGGGTGAAGATGAGGAGGATGCTAACACTCGTTCTGTCAGAATCTCTCCAGGCCTGTGGCTGAAACTAGATCTTTTTCCTGACCCTGAAAGCACCAATTATGGGTTAGCAGAAGAGCCTCACCCCACCCCATGTCTGTTCATCCCCTCAGCTGACCTTTGTTCCATGCCAAGCACAGGACTTTCTTCCCTGGGCTGCCCATGATATGGCACCAAGAACTACATGGTCTTTGCTCAGGGTTTTCATGGCCTTTACTAACCCATGTTCAGTCAGTTCTCATCTTCAGCTCTTCTTGTGATCCCCTCCCCGCCCTGCTCCTGGCTCTATTCAGAGCCAGGCCTAGTTTCCCTCCCTGATGCTTGTGGTTCCTGATGCTCACAGCTCATCCCTCACATGGGCTTCTCTTGCTCTCTAGTGGCCAGAAGAGCAGTTTTCAGTCTACTTCCCATTCATGGCCAAACTTTTCCAAAAAGTTGTCCATACTCAACTAATATGTTTGTTTTCACCCCCATGGCTCTTCTTTTGTTTAAATTAAAATCCAGTGACTCTTAAATAGTTTGGGCTGCTAACTCATAGGAAAGATATAGGCTTGCATTGCAAGCCGAACACACATATACACACACAAAACTTTCATGAAACAATACTTATCTTGACTATGTGTTGCACGCTGATCTATTCTATTCTGTTTCACTAAAAAATGCCAGCAAGACCTCTACATGGATTTCATGGGTTGTGCCCTACAGTCTGGGGAACACTGATTTGTATTTTGACAATCCAGAGCCTCAAGGTAGTGGCATTACAGCAGACATTTGTCAAGAAAGAAAAGTCAACTCTAAGATTTTGAAATACATGCTAGAACAATAGTTTGAAAAGAGAAAAGGGTTAGGATTTTCAAAGGCCCAGGAAATTTTCTCTCCTAGGCAGGATGTAGCAGGTTGCGGCAGCCCAGGGCTCCTAGTGCAGTGAAAGGAAGTGAGGCTCTCCAGCTGTTCCCTCTCCCCTCCCCCAGCGCATTTGCCAGTTTGGGGCTCTGGCTAATGATCAAGCTTTGCCCAGAAGGGAGATCTCTAATGGAGGAAAGAGAAACCAGCAAAGCTTTTAGTGGCCACATGGTACTTGAATGACAAATTGGAACACAGGTGGCCTTAAAAATACAACCAATTTTCTCCACATGACATTTGCTGTGTTCTGGGCCTGGGAATGCTTCTAGTAAGTAGAGTGAAATCTTCTGTAGTCCCATTATGCTTAAAAAACAAAGGCTCCCCAAGAATAAAGGGCCTGCCTCAAACACAAGGCCAGCACTGCCCTTGTGATATTTGCCAGATTTTAAATTTCCATGGGGACAGAGCCAGGAAAGCTGGATTGGGAACCTCTGAAGAGCAGAGCTGAACCTCCACAGTCTTTCATGGCTGAAGACAGAGGGACCTGAAGGTTCCTAATCAAAATCCACACATGAGGAGTAGTTACAAACCAGGGATAGATTGTTTTATAACAATTGAAACTCAGCCCCAGCCCAGCTCAATTCTTCCCTGGATTGAGATGATCATCCCTCACCCCATCTGCTTAAAGAAAGAAAGAAGGAACACTTTGGCAAATCACATCATCTGAAGTCTCTATACCTCCTATATACAATGTAAAAAGAATAACTAAGCAGGTGAAGAGGCATGAAAATATAATTGATAAGCAAAAGGAAAAAATAGACAATAGAAGCAGATACACAAATCATTCAGATGTTGGAGTTAGTAGACAAGA